CATAATGCTGCTCACCTGTAATCCTAGCACTCAGGAGGCTGAGGCAGGAGAATCACCACGAGTTGGAGCCCTACCTAGACTACATAGTAAGTTCAAGGCCAGCCTGAACTACCTAGCAAGACCCTATCTCAACAAAACATATACAAAAAACGAAAGGAAGAAAGAGAGGAGAGGAGGGGAGAGGAGAGGAGAGGAGAGGAGAGGAGAGAGAGAGAGAGAGACAGAGAGACAGAGAGAGACAGAGAAAGAGAAGGAGAAAGAGAAAAAGAAAGAAGGAAAGAAAGAAAGAAAGAAAGAAAGAAAGAAAGAAAGAAAGAAAGAAAGAAAGGGAAGAAAATAAAAAAGAGTGGAAATTTACTGTATTAGAAAAAAATTAAAATGAAGGTTATTTGAGAAGATTGCTAAATTGACAACTGGCTACATTGGTCAATGAAAAATGCATAAATTATTAATATGAGGAATGAAAGATGAGACTACTTTGGAGACTACAATAGAAAAATAGCAAAGGAATATCATTAATAACTGTACAAATACATTTGAAGTTTAAATGGAAAAATTTCTTGAAAGTCACAACTTGCCAAATTGGTACAAAAGACATAAGATTTGAATAGTGTATATCTACTAAAGTTGTTGATTCATAGTTAAAGCTTTCAACAAAGAGAATCCTTCACCTTGATAGTGTCGCCAGTGAACTTCTTCACTACAAATGTAAGTATAAAATAATATCAACTTTAAGCTCTTTCAGAAAATAAAAAGAAGTATTTCTCAGCTTGTTTCCCTCACTCCAAAACTGGGAAAAGATAGTGCAAGAAAAGAAAACAAATATCGACATAAAAATCCTTAATAAAATGCTAACAAATTAAATCCAACAATGTGTGAATGCAATAATATATCATCAGCACGCAGCCCAGGAAGGTAAGGTTCACTTTAACGCTAGGCAGGGAAAAAACACAGCGAGGACAGAAGTAGAAATACGGTCACCTGTGATCTAATGGTGCAGTAGAAAATCCCACAGAATTCACCAGAAAAAAAAAAAAATAAGAAAGAAGAGACTACAAACTAATAAATTATTCAGCAAAATTATCAGATACTAAACGGTAGACCAAAACAGTGCATTTTGGCGTGCTAGCAACAAACACTTGGAAAATAAAACCACAACTGCAACAGCATTTACATGCATTGGGAAAGTAGGAAAGAGTGCAGTATGTATGTTTACAGCTGCGAAATATTGCTGAGAAACTGCGGGAGAAGAGATGGGAAGTGGGGGTGTCCATCCCGCTCCTCTTGTCACCCTGAGTCCCCGGGTCCCCACTGCCGCTGGCCTCCTGCATCTCCATCGCACCCACCCAGGACGTCGGCCACAGCCCTCGGTCACAGAGCTTGCAAACACATGTGCAGGGGCCACTCTGCACGGCTCCCAGAAGCCCAGCCTGGGTCCCAGCTCCTCAGCCTCAGCTCCCGCAGCCAATCCCCTCCCCATGCTGCCGGCGAATCCCCGTCCGTCCTCAGGGTGCCCAGCCCGCTCGCTCCTCCCCATCTGCCCGTGGTCTCTGAGTTACCTGTGTGCACACCGTCTTGCGTGCCACCACAGGGTACCGAGTGCCTCCGCCACCCCCGCAGCAATGGCAGCATGCCTGCCCCGGGCATGCACGCCCTGAGGGCCCTCACAGTGAAAGGATGGGGGGCTTAAGTATCCCTCACGCTCAGGGTCCCCGCTGGGCCTGGACAGTGAGGATGAGCCCAGGTCCCCGGCACACAGTGTGAACTTGCCCAGCTCTGAGAACCCTCAGGGCACAGGGACAGCGAGCCGCTCCTTCCCTGGCAGTTCGCTTCCTGGCCCGCCGCACAGGACCCTGTGTTTAATAGAGGAAACCTCCCATGAAACCCGATGAGGCACCCACGGGACACTGGGCAAGTGATGATACATGGAATCACAGCCCAAGTACCTGGCCAGCCTGGGCACTGCCACCTGTCCTGCCTCCTGCCCGGGATGCCCTGCCCTGTCCTGTCCTCCCCCCAGGACCACCTGTTCTCAGGGTATAGGATGGAGATACTCACCCCAGAAGCTCTGTGCCTCTATGGCTGAGCTTGGCCTGGGATGCAGGGGCAGTGTGGACAGAGAGAAGGGACACAGAGCCAGGCTGGGGAGGACGCACTCCATGGAGCAGGAAGTAGCACCGGGAAGGAGTGGTAGAGCCGGCCAAAGTCTGCAGGAAGGCGGGAAGCAGGTGTTCCGCACACGCTCGACCTGCTTGGCTGGATCTGCCCTGCCTGGCCACCGTCACTTCCCGCCACTGGGGTGCTCCTCAGGCTGCTGTCACCAGACTCCTGTCTAGGCCGGGCTCTGGACATGGCGCTGACCCCACAGAAAGGCCAGGCTACTGGGAATCCCGTGCGCTGCTGGGGGGACAGAAGTGTAGGAGGTGGGGTGCTGCTGGGTCTGAGCGTCTGATTCCCCCAAATCGGAACCCTCACCCCAAGGAGATGGTGTGAGGAGGTGGGGCCTTTGGTGGCGCAGGTGCTCTCAGGAGTGCAGTGCGTGTCCTTCTAAAAGGTACCCGAGAGCTCCCTCATTCCCACCCCATGTGAGGACACAGCAGGACAGCCAGGACGCCGCCCTCCCGGGACGCCGTGTCACCAGCACCAGGGCTTGGCTGCCCAGCCTCCGGAGCTGAGCACAGGACGCTTGTTTATGAGCCACCCGGCGAGGCGCATACATTGGCCGGGCGGAGCTGGGGGCCCGGGAGAGGAAACGCTTTCGCTTCCTCCTTCAAGGAAATCAACAGCCTTCCAGTAGACAGTGGGTTGGGAGCTGCTGGACACCACAGATGGGCTGGAAGAGCGGGGCCTGCCCTGGGGGATGGAAATACGGGCCGCAGCTCAAGTGCACCCCCTGCAGGCCCAGGAGGAGCCCACGGCCTTCACCCAGCAGGACAGGGCTGCTGGCTGTGTCTGGTGAGGTGCAGCCACCATGGGGCTCGAGGCTGGGTGGGCACACAGGGTCCCAGAGCCCCCCAGCCCCCTGCGGGTCTACGCACCTCCACCCTGTTGCATGCCGGGGGGAAATGTCACCCAGAGCAGGCTGTGGCTGATGCCTGATCGCCTCCCGGGACCCAGAGGGCACAGCTAGGGCTCCCCCGTATCAGCCGTTGGGCCAAGGGTGAGGCCCACACCAGGCCCAGCTGTGGCCGGGGACCCCACCTCTTCCTTCCTGACCAGACACCTTGCCCCAAATGCTGATCCAGTGTGTGCTTCCAGCCAAGAGTAGCAGCACTGGCTTTGGACCTGGGCCAGCCCGGCCCGAGGCAATGAGGACTCACACCGGGTGGAGCGACATAGGCCCTGGCCCAGTGCAGCCCTGATCACACCAAAGGCTAAACTCACTACCAGGCTGAGTTCGAAGGGGACAGGGGACAGGGATCCGCTGAAGCTTCGGACGCACAGCCTACAGTGGCCTGCCGATGATGCAGCGGGTTGCTACCTCTGTGGCAACAAGGAGGGGACTCTGGCCAGGGCTCAGGAGGCTGGGGGGCAGAAGCAGCTACATGTGAGCTCCACAGGAAGTCCTGGTCATGCCACCAGTCCTCCAGACGGTGCTGGCTGTCCTGCAGGCTGGCCAATGGTGGGCATCACCATGATAGAACTTGGTGCACCCAGGGTGCTGGGGTCCAGACCCTGGAAGAGCAGAGGCCAGTGGTGACCTCTGTCCACCAGAAGCCAGGAGAGTCAGTACCAGTGGCAAGGATGGGGACACCAAGGGGCACCCCTGGAATTGTGAGAGGCCAACAGCAGTGTAGGGCCCACAACCAGGCACCACTAAGCAGGCCAGGCCAGGCCAGTGAGGGCAGCTGCACCAACAGAGAGCCCAGTCCTGGCCCACATGGCACCTCAGCCGCATATGGAGAGGAGCCCAGCCCTAGACGAAGGACTACAAATGACCCACGCGCTTCAGGTCCCGAGGCCCTCCCCACACTGGCTGCATACCGAAGGGACATGTAGGTGTTTGCCAGCCAGAGCCCCTGCCCCGAACCCACAGCATCCCAGTATCCTCCTGGGGCAGTGCAGCCCAGCCACAGCAACAACTTGTTGTGTCCAGCCTTCCCAGAAGACGTGCGAGAAACTGCCAGTCGCCTCACCCCTGTGGCCTCCGGGCCCTGCTCCACCAGCCTGAACCCTTGTCCCAGGAGAAAATGTGGCCCCAAGACTCTGAGACCCAAGGCCTTGGGTCCTCTGGGCCGGTCACCCAGGTGCCATCATATGCTTATGACTGGGAGGGGTCTAGTGGGCTCCAACTCTGCCCCGGTCCCTCGGGTGGCACCAGCTCCATCAGCACAGCACAGCCCGTGACCGGTCAGCACGATGCCTGCAGGGACGACCCAGGACAGGCAGAGGCAAGCGCACTCGGAGGAGCGGAGCTCGGTGAGTGGGCACAGGTGCCCACATGGCTGACAAAGCAGCACAGCCTGGCCTGGCCCTGCTACTGCCATCACTGCCCCAGGACACGGAAGCCCAGCCTCCCTCACAGCTGCGGCAGAAGGGCGGTGAGAACCGCAGGCCACAAGGGAAGGACTGTGGGCACAGCTGCTCAGGGTGTGACCAGGACAGCATGGCTGGCGATGGCTCTCAGCTCTGAGGGATATGGCAGAAGAGGAGCTGGAAGGGGATTCACATCACCCTCCCACCTGGCCCTGCCCCGGCTGCCCACAAGGCCCCTCTGCTCTCAGGACCGTGTTCAGCTGTGTGCTGGGCCACAGGGACCAGGGGAGACTCACAGGGGGCTGACCCAGGCCCGCAGGCCTGGACACTTCAGTCTCCACGCCCGGCCCTCACCCCCTTACCCCAATCCCAGCAGTCTTCTGCACCCCTGCGCGGTCTGACAGGTCCCATGGGGCCTCCTGTCCTGCAGCCCAGCTGGCCGTACCATCTAAGCGCCCACTGTCCCCTCCCGCACCTGCTGGGGAGTGGATTCTGCATCAGGGGTCATGAACAGGCCCCACCCATAAATTGCTCATGATTATTTATTTATAAAGTCACATCCTGGAAATATTTCAAGTAATAAATAGTTTAAAATAACATCTGCCACAACCTGTTCCTGCCTGGTTACGGCCTCTGCCTGCAGGCAACAAAGGCCGCGGTGCCAACTCCGGAGCCGTCAGCGCCAGGCCCGGGGTCTGCACCCAGCTGGTCTTGGGCGGCAGGCAGCGTTGCCGCTTGCAGTCCTCTTCCCCGCTGCAGCACCCACTGGACCCCAGGGCCACACCTCTCTAGGACAGGGCTCTCGCTTGGCCCTGGCACCCAGCACTCTGCAGGGCTGAGGCACCAGGCTCAGAACCAGCCATGGCACCTAGGAGGGATGCTCTGGCTGCGGGGACTGGCACACAGGGCGGCGTCAGGTCTTCATCACGGCCATAGTGGAGACCTATGGGAGGAGAGGGGGGCCCGGCTCACGGCTGCACATGCTTTTCACGGCTACAGATGCCACCCGGAACGACAGCCCTTCCCCTCGGCCCTGCAGGTTCTACCATGCGGCTGCCATGGGGGAGAGCAGAGCACACGTGTGCAGGGCACAGGCCACAAGGTCAAGGCTGTGAAGAGGCAGGGGAGCGGGCGGCCCGCACACGCACCTCCTGGAGGAAGTGGCCCAGCACCTCCTGGCTGTGGATGGAGCGCCTGTGGAAAGCAGAGTGCTGGTCACCCCAGCCTGGCCTGCGCAGAGGCTCCCTGTGCCCTTGGCCACCCCCACCAGGCCCCTCCAGGGCTGCGGCCTGCGAGAACCCCAAGCACACGGCCCACTGCTGGTCTCTGCCAGGTCAGCTGAGCGCCCAGATTCCGGCAAGAGCCACAGGGGAAGGGAGGGGCGCTGAGGCAAGGAGGTCCGCCCCCCATGGCTGCCCCAGGTCCAGGCTGCACCTGTCCACTCTGGTGGCGATGATCACCGTGAAGGTGCCCTCGGCATCAGGCAGGTAGGTGGAGGGCACAACCCTGTAGGTGCCGGCGGCCAGCAGGCAGAGCCGGCTCACCTCCTCGGCGTAGCAATGTGGCACGCAGCTCAGCAGTGGCTCTTGGAGCAGCAGGGACCTCACATCCTGGCTCTCGCCACCCTCTGGGACCTGGGGGACAAGGGATCAGCCTGGGGGGCTACGTGGGGTGGGTGACACGGCCCCTTTTCCCTTCAGGCAGCAGGCTGGGGCAGTCTGGCTGCCTGGCACAGTTGGCCCCGTGGTCCTGATGCCCAGCCTACCCGCCTCAGGAGGAATCCCAGACCCTGACACCATTTGCAGTTCCTCGACAAGGTCAAACTGCCTCTGCCAGAAAGCGATCCTGGTGCCAAGCTCTGCTCAAGAGTGCCACTTCCCTGACCAGGTGGCCTGGCCGAGATCCCCAGTCTCCTCCCAGCTCTGGGGCGCACAGGCCCCGCTCCCACAGGGCACAGAACCATCTCCATCAGTAAGTCCCTCCAGCTCCTTCCAGGTCCCCGGCCCAGGACGCTGCTGTCATGTGACCAGTGCTTGTGACCTCTGGCCTCTTTAACGCATCCCCCGCCCCCACCCACTGTGGAACCTGCCTGGAAGACGTGGAAGCCAATGGGGTGCAGCTGGCTGTCGCCAAGCCGGCAGTGCTGCTGCAGGGTGATGCGGACACAGCGGGGACCGGCACCCTCGGGGACTAGGAAAGGGAGGCAGGGGTTGCAGGGGTAGGAGGCGAAGTTCCTGCTGCCCCCTGCAGTCTGGCCGGCTTTCCAACAGCCCCGAAGCTGCACGGTCTCCACCTCTCCCGTGGGCAGGGCTGTCCTGTGGTTGGTGCTCTGGGCCGCCGGCCTCTCGGCACTGCTATAGGGACAAGCACAGGAGGGTGCTGGCACAAACGCATCCTGCCTTGGACCAAGGTCCCCACTCTGCCTCCCCGCCGGCTCTTCACCTGAGGGACACTTTCCCAGTGGAGAAGACCCGCAGCAGGAACTGCGCGGACACGTCCTTCAGGAAGGTGCTGGGGACGGCGAGGTAGTGGCCTGGAGAGAGCTCACAGCGCAGGTGCACCTCTCGGTCATAGGCGTGGCACACAGTGCCGGCCACCGGGGGTGCAGACAGGACCCTTGGCAGGCTAACCCGCCGCTTCTCTACCTGCCAAGGTGGGCAGAGGCTCAGAGCCCCCAACTCCCTCCCCTCGGGCCTTGCCTCCCATGGCCCTGGCACCAGGTCTGAGACAGCTGAGCTCAGGGCCAAGGTGGCCGGGCACTGCCCAGTAAAGCACTTTCCAGCATATACTGCAGGAAGGACAGACGCGAAAGGGACCAGGGACAGAGTTGTGCGTTACCACACCTGGTCAAGGTAGAGTCACTCCAGCCGCTGAGCAGAGAGCCACTCTGCACCTGGCCACTCGGCCCTGCTCCTCTCACCACACCCCCTCCCTCCACGAATGGCTGTGAGCTGCGTGTGTAAGCTTCAGAGTGATGTCACAAGGTCAGGGTCCCAGTCCCGTGTTGTGGGGGATGGGCCGGGGGAGATGGGTGACCTCTGAAGTCACGCAGGCTCCTCTCCCAGGGTGCCTCCACCTGTATCGTCTAGGGAGGAGCCACACAGTGGGGCCTGTGGCCAACCCTTCTGCTGGCCCCGGCCTCAGGCTGCCAGCAGCATTCTGGGCACTAGGCTCGAGGGCAAGGCCTTGGACCAGGGTGGGCTCTGTGGGGCACCAGAAGTGAGTGCCAATGCCAACCAAGGAGAGAGACGAGATGGCATCGGTGTGGGTGAGTTACCTTCCAGAGGTGCAGGCCCACGGCCTGGTAGTCCTTGCTTGGGGAGCTGGCCAGGGCATGGCTGTGGCCTCCCAGTGGCCGGGCCCGGCCCACCAGGTGCCCCTGGGGCCTCTGCAGGACAGCCACGCACACCTCGCTGGGTTCCAACAGCCGCAGCCAGAACTTGGGGTTGGAGGGAAAGCAGCTGTTGTTCCGGCAGCCTCCTGCAGACTGCCCCTCGACCCAGGCGCCGGGCAGTGCCCGTGCGTGGCACAGCGTTTTCTCTAAAGGAAGGGCACAGGTGAGCTTGGGGCAGCCACTTCTGGGAGTCCACTGCTTCCCTCCTGCAGTAGGCTGCGCCCAGGGTCACACTGCGGGCCACGGCCTGAGCAGCTTCTGGGCCTTGCAGGCAGAGTCCACGCCTGTCACATACCTGTGTAGAGGCTCTGCAGGTGGCCGGCCTCCGTGACTGGGTAGCTGATGGTGACCTCATCGAACTCCCTGAGGAACTCCTCCTCCTCCACCCAGAACTCCCCATCCTGGAGCTGGGACAGGAGCCTGGCCTTGTCAGTGGGCTCCAGCTGGCTCCACCCTTCACCCCTGCGAGGAACCTCATTTTGCTCAAAGCCTCTCCCAAGAGCTGGGAGCATCTGACAGCTACACAGAGGAAACTCACTGTCCACCGCCCCCTGTGCTGGCGGCCCCTGCACAAGGGGCCCGTCCCAACCTCTCTGCTTCCCCAGAGGAGCTCCACACCCCGAAGCTGTCTTCCCAGAGCTGCCATACCACAGCTCTGGACGACATCTGTCCTGTCACCTGGATGGAGCTGAGGAGCTGGGGTTCGACAGGGGCTGAGAGGTCCAAGAGCCTCGGCACTCTTGGGCCTCACAGGGAGCCTGGTTCCAACAGCACCCTCAGGTCCACACCCACCCCAAAGCCCACTGGGACACACACCATTCTGTAGGCCCCCTTGGGTGGTCACAGTCCCAGCCCTCGGGGACCCAAGGCCCAGATGGGAGCAGTGCTGAGATAACCGAGTGCTGCCTGGCACCCAAAAGTGACTGCAGCACAGAGAGATGGGCATGGAGGCCCGGTCACCCACAGGGTCTCGATGACCCCTCCTCCCATGCCCAGCCCTCCGGGCACTCACCCCTCTCTCCAGAGTCCCTGCCAGCACTGCCGGCCCCAGGGGTTCAGAATGCGCAGCAGGAGGATGCCCCGGCCTGCCCGACTTTGGAGCTCCTGCAGGTCAGAGACGATGAAGGCGTGGAACTCCCCCAGCACCGTGGCACCTGTGCAAGGACAGCAGCATGAGGCAGACTGAGAGGACAGCAGGTTTCTGTCTCTGTGCCCAGGACATGCCCAGCCCACTCTGCAGGGCTCAAGAGGCCGTGGGTCCCCAGAGCAGGGCAGCTCTGTTCCTGTGCAGGCTGGTCAGCTCGTGTCCTGGGTCAGTCTGCCGCACCATGCTTTAGGGCCAAGGACCAGGCCCTGGCTCCTGCCCCTGGGGCCTGGCGGTCACTTCCTTTTCCGGCCTCAGGCGCCCCATGCCAGTACAAGGTCCGGGCCAGGCCAATGCTGTTACTGATGCACTTGCAACTGCCAAGAACTGAGAGACCTTCCAAGCACAGCAGGGTGGAACAGGGGAGGAGGGCCTACAAGACCACGCTGCCTAGCTAGAGACCTCAGGCCAGGTGGACACTCGCCAGTAGGTGCCAGAGGAGTGCCAGTCTGCTAAGGAGTTGGTCCAGAGCGGGGCAGGAGCCTGAGAGTGACTTCGATGCTTTATGTAGAAGCTACACATGATGCCCATCCCTGAATCCTCAGCCCTGGCTACTTCAGCCAGGGGTGGCGGGGTGGGAAGGGCCAGGAATCAGCCATGCCACACTCTAGGAGTGGTCCTAGACCGGCAATTTGGGGAGCTGGTGCTCAATGGCAAGTTCCTGCACTCAAGGAGGAATGCAGGGGGCCCTGCATGCCAAAAGGCATGACCAGGGGTCAATGGGGAGCACACACCCTGTGGATCTCCCCTCCTGTCTCAGAATCTGCCTACAACGCCCCAGACCCAGGCTTTGCCAGCACTTGACACACACTGGCCAGGGCAGTACAAGAGCTAACGTGTTCCGGTTTATTTGATGTTCATGTTTTTAACCAAAATATTACAAAAACAATCCTAACTACCTATAAAAAACAATAAAAATGCTCATTGCAGTGCTATTTATAATTATCAGAAGACTTTAAATACCCAGTATTACAAGAATTAAGGAAGCTCAGGTGAGTCAAATAACAAAATAAGACATTAACAAGGTTTACGTAACAGCATAGGACACACGTCATACAAACAATAGAAAACATATCTGCTCTTATGAAAAAGCTAAGAAAATGCACTAAATAGTCGAAGTGGTTGTATTTGGGTGATTTGTTTCCTTCCTTTTTTGGTAAACACGCTTTTCTTAATGAATGTTAATGAACGACACTACAATGAAAAAACGGCTTGGATCCTGCCAAGTACCAGCTCGGCCAGGATGGTGAACACCACAGTCTAGACGTGGTGCCTGCCAACTGCACGCCAGGCCGCCTTTGTGTGACAATGACCACAGTGTACACCCTGCCTCCCTTTAGGAAAGGACCGCAGGGTCCGCGCCCTCAGGTGAGGGGACGGTAAGGGGAGGTCACAACCCCAGCACACACCCGAGGGTGGGTGGCTGTCACAAGCGAGTGGCAAGTAGCATCTGAAGCAGGGTGGAGGGCCTGGCCACGCCTTACCTGCTCTGGGGCTGAGCAGTGAGCAGCTGATCAGACACCGGTCTTTCAGGTGTAGCATCTGCCGACACGTCCTGGGCTCCCGACTGCCCGCAGGCCTGTCCTGCTGCCTTCCAGCCAGATCCCTCAGGTTCCACCTTTCTGCCAGGCCGCCGGTCAGGTCCACCAGGGCATCGGCCACTTGCCCTGCCCACAAGTGTTCGTACGACCCATGGACCCTAGGGGGCCACAAGCATAGCCACACTGAGCTTTGCCCACTCAGGCTCAGCTTCCGGGCCCTCAAGTCCCCTCCTTGTCCCCTACTGTGTTCTTCACCAATCTAGACTTGGCCTCCCCTGCAAACGCCACCACCTTCCGTGTCCCTGCTGTCCTCTGCCCACATTCAGCGGCCTGCCTGTCTCCAGTGTGGCCACGCACAGGGCACAAGGGGTGCAGAGCTCTGCATGCACAGCCCTCACCCTCAAGTCCACGCTCACATGCCCGCCTACGGCTCCAGAGCCTCCAGGACAGCCCAGGGCGGCTGAGGAGGGGAGCGCCTCACAAAGCACTGCGCCAAGCCAAGCCAAGCCAGCGCCACACACCAGCTGGCTCACTTCTCCCCAGCTGGGCACAGGCTGCCAGCCCCAAAGGCTAGGGACCCAGACACCCAAGTGTCTTCTGGCAGTCACAGGAAGAGAGAGGACACGCGTGTCCCCGCTGGTGGAGGGGAGGGTGAGGGGCAGAAGGCACGTCTGGACACTCAGGACTGGCTGCCTGACCACAAGGATGAGCAGGTGGTGCAGCAGGGAGGGCTGGGTCGGGGCAGCCCTAGGCAAGAGGAGCGTCACCTCCACGCCACACACGTACTTGGCATAGACCTTTTCCAGTAAGGGAAGCCAGAACACATCCTCTCTCTGGCACCGGGAGAAGCACAGTCTCCCTGCAAGACAAGGCAGACGGTCATCTATGGTCACCTCCTCCCAGTGTCCAAACTGCCAGATCCGACAGATGAAGAGGCCACGGTACGTCTGGTCAGACCAACTCGGTTGTCCTGGAGGGAAGACCTACCATGCACAGGGAGAGGCAGAGAGAGAGCGTGAGATGGTGTCATCTGCGGCCTCAGTGTCCTAACTACAGTCTGACCACGATGGATGGACATCCCGGGCTGTGCAGTGCGAAGGGCTCTCAGCGTCTGTGCACAGCAAATGCAATTACTGGGTCCAAAGTTCATAGACTTAAATATTTTAAGATCACGCTTTGATTCCCAAAGCTTTTTTTCTGACTCAAAACCAAAACCATGGTGACTCTGGCAGCCACGAGTGGCCCAATCCTCCACAGAGCTGGCTGCAAAGAGCAGATCCCACAGCCCAGCAGCCCTGTCTACTGCCCACCGCAGCCAGCTGCTGGGCCAGTGTCCACCTGGACTCCTTCGGGGTTTCACTCTGACCCAGCAGGGGGTGGCTTGGGGTGGTGCTGGCTCCGCCACCCAAGAGTTGGGAACGTGACACCCACGAGGTCCGCACTCTCATTTGCAGAGGGTCACAGCTGGCAAGGCTGTGAGGAGGTAGCGACCAAGACACGCTCAGCACAGGGCCTGGGACACGGAGGAACCCTGCAGGGGGCTGCCCTGCAACAGGCCACACCAACAGCGACTGCTGGGGAAGGAGCAGGCACAGAGAAGCCTCTTGAGGTGTCCGCCTGCACCAGCACTTTCAACTACCTTCTGCTTACTTACAAAAAATTTGCAAATGAAACAAAAAAACCCCCGTAACTAGCTAAGGAAACATGCGAAGCCAGCAACAGGGACACCATGGCCAGCCTGCCTGCTTACCCCAAATGCATGGCTCTGCCCATGTGGAGAAGCCAGGGCTCAGAAGACAGAAAAACAGGTCAGAGAGCCTCTCACAAGCCCCTCAGGCAGCACAGGGACACAAGGGGTCTCAGCTGCTGTCCCGGGTCCTCTGGCTACCCACTGAGCAGGCTGCACAGCTACACGCCACAGGACAGGCTCTGCTTCCGGAAGCACTTCCTGTGCTCCACATGCAGGAGGAAGGCCGCTGCACTCCAGAGCCCTGGGTGAGGGGCACTCCTTACCCGCTCTAGGAGGTGCCGACTCTTCTGCAGGGCGGCGCAGGCGCACAGGAACCAGCAGTCACCCAGCAGCCCTTGCTTCACCTGTCCTTCCCATGGGTTATCTGGAAAGAGCCGGGGCGCAGTACAAATTTCCTGAAATAAAGAAAATCGTTCAGTGTCAGACCAGGCCCCATGGCTAGCCGGCAAGGTAAGACACAGGACCCAGTCACAGGCTGGGCGGGGCTCTCTGGCCCCTGAGCTTCCCGGCCCCAGGGAGGAGGGAAGAAGCACGCCTCCGAGGTACTGCCTAGGTTCAGATCCCCGCCTGCTATCAGGATGCTGTCTCTGTCCACCTCCCTTAGCGGCAGAGCCCCAACTCTGGATGAAGCCTAAGGAGTCCTCTTGAAACGGCCTCACAATGTAAGTACAGGACGACAAAACCTCAAATGGCTCCTGGGGACACAGCTGGAAATCTTACTGTCTCTACAAGGGTTAGTTCCCCCTGTCCCCAGACTCTTAGCCTCCCCTTTTCTCCCCTCACAATGTCTGTGCTCCCCTGGCCGTCAACCCCAACTCCTGCTGCGCACGAACCCCTTGACCAGACCCTTCCCCAGCCCCAGAGCTGGGCTCCTCCCTTCACTCCCTGGGGCAGATCCCAGCATAAAGACAGGAGAGTGACTCTCCCACCCCCTGAAGATGTCACCCAGGGCACCACGTCCCCTTCTAAGCAGCCCTTTACCAGCAATCTTCTCGGAGGAGCTGCCGCCCCCATTTCTTCCCTCCCTTCACTCTCCACACAGGCCCTCAAGCTTCCGAGTCCATCAGGCCCCACAAGTCTATCAATGTCCCTTCCATGCATTAAAACCCAACAGAAGCCAGGTACAGGAGCACACCCTTGTAATCCCAGGAAGGCTGAGGCAGGAGGATTCCGTGTTCAACCTCGGCCCCGGCAACTCAGTGAGAACTATGTCAAAACAAAACACTTTTAAAAGGGCTGGGACTGTGGCCTAGTGGTAGAGGACTTGCTTGGGATGCATGCGTACGGCCCGGGCTCCGTATCACCCTCACACTCAAACACTCCAGTGGGCATCTCAGTTTCCACGATCTGCATGTTCCTTCTGTCCTCTCCTCCCACTAGCAGCGGCTCTCAAGCCTACCTGTCAGGGAGTCCGCTTGCCCCACAATACCTTAGGGCTCCTCTAGGATCAGTCCCAGCCCCTCCTCTCCCCATATGCCAGGCTCCAATGCCCAGAGAGAGGCCTCTAGCCCAGATCTTCCTGCCTGTCTGATAGCTCCACCTGAACATAGGGTCGGGGGCAAACTCGATTCCAAAGCATGGGTACCACCTGGGACCATGTACACCTGGCACTAGGCAAGGGATGGAGAAGTCACTCTTGATTCCACCTTTATCATCATTTCTTCAATCAGCACTAAGGCCCATCAACCCCTCAGGAGTGTTCTCTGACCTGACTCCTCTAAAGCCCAGCCCAGCAGCAGTTATGCTGACCCGGGCCATCACCCTTCCCCGGGCCAGGGCGAGGGCCACCTGCACACCTGCCCCGAAAACCTGTCTCTCACCCGAGAGCACGTGTGAGCTGCTTTCTCTCCCACTGTCCTCTCTGTCTTGTTTCCTGGTGTTGTTACTGTGAGTAGGTGACGCACTCACAGGTCACAATATTAAAGGACAGTCACTAAATAATAAAAAGCTCTAAATATTTAATGCCACCGCTATCATCCTCTACTCAGGTCCCTAACAAGTGAGCTTCTTAAAACACAGTTCCACTAGAATCTGCTTTCTACCAAAAAAATCCACTACTGGCCTCCTACTGCACCTAAAACTTATTATTATTTTGTTTTTTTCTGGTACCGGGAATTGAACTCACGACCTTGCACTTGCCAGGCAGGTGCTGTGCTGCTGAGCTAAATCCCAGCCCCCTAAAACTCATCTTTAAGTAAATAAAACTGAAATTCCAATGGCTTGGTCTACAGGGCTTTCCAAGCTCTATCGCATGCCTCCTTCCAGGCCCTACAGTGTTGTTCAAGGAGTCCAGGCTGCTTGGCAAGGCCCCCCCAGTTGCCAGAGCCAAGCACTTCCGGCTGTTTTAAGGGCGGGTGGCCATCCAGAACTGCATACAACACACCCAGGGTAAGGTGATTCCCTGGGTAGTCTCATTCAGCAAATAAACCACTTCCAAAAATATCAAGAAAGCCTGAGGGAAGGGCATCTCTCTGCCATTTAAGTGTTTACAATAAAGGCAGGCACACAAGGTCCGGTACTGGACTTTTACCACTGCTTTGCTCTGTGGGCTTGGCCCTGCTTTCCAGAAAAGCGTGGGGTAGGGGACCTCACTGGCAGTGCGGTTGACACACAAGAAACAGAACAGTGCACCAGAACCACTTGCAACCAGGAGAGGAATGCAGACTGGAAGTCAGGTGCAGACCCTGGTCACAGAGGCGCAGTTAAGTGGGGCCGGTTTGTATCTATTAAGGTATCTCACTCTCTCAGCGCCTCCAGCCTCCAGATCAAACAAGTCTTCAATTCAGTACATCTGAAACAAATTATCCACTTCATCTGGAAACTTTCTACCTATTTTGCAACATGCAGTTCAGCCTACTCAGTTCCCCAGGGATGCATAAGGACAGTCAGCCACTCCACTTTTCAGCATGTTCTGGTTAACCATCATGATCCCAACTTCTGCGCTGTGACATCTCTTGTGCATACCAAAACGTTGAGTCCTCTGGGGTCACACGTAAGGCAAAATCAAAGACCATGGGAAGCGCTAGTCCTGATATTCCGGACTTATTCGCGCCCCAACTGATGTGGCAGGATCAATTCCCGAATGATGTCTTCAATTACTCCCCTCCACTACGTAACAGAACAAGTTCCTGTTAATTAACATTCTTATCTTGGTCTTAGAATATTTTACTACAAATAACCCCGGACAAATTCTTCAAGTGCACGCATCTGAGCGACGAGCTGTCTCCTGAAATGGAGCACCCCCCGACCTGCAGCCTTAGGACTGGCAGCTCGACCGGAGCCACGCGAGGGGGCGGAGTGCCGGGCACCTGGAAGCCCAGCCGAGGTTTTGGCTGCAGGCCCCGAGATCCAAGTGCCCGCCTGCCCACCCGGCCCGGCGAGGAGACCCGCGCCCGCCCCACCTGGGGGCGCCTCCACGTGATGTCCTCCCGAAACTGGGCCAGCGGCGTGGACAAATTGAAAAAGAGCGAGGACTCTGAGGCGGGGAAGGCGGCGTCCCGGAACAGCTCCCGCGCCGGCTGCTGGACCCGGCCCGCCCGCATCCTCGACGCCCTGGTCTCCCATCTGCAGCCGTGGACTCTCGGTCGCAGCCGGGGAGGGAGAGCGAGGCCGCGAGCGCCGCCGTCTCCGCACCAAGCCTAGAAGACCTGCAAGTGCCGTGCACCCTCCCACTCCGTCGCCTGGACGACAGCCAACCAGGCCTGTCGCGCCCGTCACGCGACGCAGCGGCCCAATAGCACGTCGGCCTGAGAGACCGCCTTCCGGGCCTGGGGGCGGGACTCCCCGGCTCGGCTCTCGCGAGGCTGCGGCCTCGTTCCCCCACCCCAGCGGTACTGTATTTCTTCTTGTGAGGTCGGCAGGGCCCCCTAGTGTTCTGGCGGAGACTCGGTCCTGGAGGGCTGGGGGACGTTTTGTTCTCGGAACAGTTCAGATCGAGCCACCTGAAGTCCAGCTTTTGCTGCTGTAGAGACCTGAAAAGGCGCGCGGACTGCGGGCGCGCCAGGGACTACATATCCCAGTATGCAGCGCCGCTCCCAGAATGCACCTCTCCTCCCAGAATGCCTCTTTTCCAGCGTTAGGACGCTACGCTCTCTGCCATTTGGGGAGGAACTAAGGGAAGACTCGCTCGGGGAGATGTGCTGGAGAGCTTCTAAGGGCTGACCCGTGCCCGACGCTGTGTGGTGTGTGTCGGAGTCCTGGGGAGGGGGCCTGCCTCGGAGGAGGCGTCTGAGGGAACGGGGACGCTGAGTTGGGCAGTACCCGCCGAGGTATTTCTCCCCAGGCGATTTTGGGTCGGCCGCTCTGGAGAGTTCAGCCGGAGCTGGCGTCTGGTCGCCGCAAAAGCAGATGTCTGGTCTTGGTGGCAGTACAGTGACCCCTGGACTTGGCGTACAGCCCCCGGCCGCTCATGGCCGCAGGTCGGTGACGACGATAACACGAGGACCAGCTCGAGGAGTCCCGCTTGCTGCGGGAGCCAGTCCTTGCCCATTCTCAGGAGGCCGGCCAGCCTGCCGCTTGTTTCCTGCTTGCCCTTCCAGGCCTGCTTCGTTGAAGCGGATTGGAAAGGGGCCCACCTGTCTCGTGACAGCTGCTTGCCATCCGTTAAGGCTGCTCAGATTTTTCTCGTCAGGCCACTTTTCCTTGGCCGTGGGATATGAAGAGGGCTGAGAATGAAGCCATTTTTTCTACAGTTAGGTAGGAAAGGCCTTCGGGAAGAGAAACAGCTTGGTCCAGGAGCGCTTACCCTTAACCTTGTGCCTGCTTGGGAGTCCCAGGTTCTGGGACAGCTGCATCCTTTCCCCGTGAGCTGCCGGCCAGCGTCTGCATTAGTAACATTTGGTCCAGGACTAGACCTCAGTCCCCCAGTTTGGGCCGCAGGATACTCCTTGCTGAAGTTCTAGAAAGGAAGTGACTGCACAGTCCAACACCTCTTTCTAGGATGTTCTTTGCTGAGCACTCCATGGTGCTGACTCTTCCAGAAAATAATTCTCCTTGGCAGGCTGTCCCCTATAGCATAACTGAGAGGAATCTGTAAGGGCCTGGACTCTTACCTTGAGGGTCCTGATGAATAAGACAAATTTGTTCCGTGTCCTGGGTTCTAGGCAGTTGTTCACAACAGGTAACATGTAGGGTTCGCTAGCAGAGGTGGTGCTGGGCCAGGATGCAGACTCATCAGAGGCTTTTAATGTGCCACACACCGATACTGACAAGCTCAGGAGAGCAACCAGCTTCCTATGGCCACATCCATGTCCAGGGCTGGACCCATTCCCAGACCTAAATCCCCATGAAGACAGCTGTTTGGCAGGTATTAGGTAGGCAGCAGCTCAGGCCTGCAGGATGGAAAAGTACATTAGTCATTTTTCCATCACGGGGGGGTGGCGGGGGGAGTACCTCACACAATCTAAAGTAGGAGAAATTTATTTGGCTCACAATTTGAGGGGCTTTAGTCCATGTTTAGCTGGATCCAGGGCAGAAATGGCCTGGTGGAAGGACCTGGCAGAGGAAGAGTCAGGTCAAGGCAGGCAGGAAGCATCAAAGAGAGGAGCCAGCCACAAGAACATGCCCAGGTCAGACCTTAGTGGCCGGTTCCAGCCAGGCCCCACCTAGCAGCACATTCTGCTATGAACTCATCAGTGGATGGCTTCATTGATGAACACCTGTGTGATATACATGAGGCTTTGGTGGGTATTTTAGAGCTTAACCGGTATGTTGAGGAACCAGCACCGCTTGTACTGCAGCCAAAGAAAGTGTGAGGGCATCTTTTTCTTTTTAAAAAATTTGTTTTAAAGAGAGTAGTAAATGAGAGAGAGAAAAAAAGAACAATAGCAGCATACCAGCATCACAAACATAAACAAACCAAAGCAAAAACATTTAAAGTGATACAGGGTTTCAAAACAAAATAATATGGATTAACAGTGGTTGTTATATTACATATTATCTTCAACTAGGTTGCTTGGATTACCAGATGTAGGGATGGAAGATTGTTCAAACCATTAAAGAGAATAAGAAAATAATTATTAGATAAAACATTAGAGATAATACAGAATTTCATTAAATGGTAGGAATTCACCATGGTTGTTCCATTGCATATTGTTGCTTTCAAATCAGTTGCTCAGATTACCAGATATAAGTATGCAAAATTGGTCAGAACATAAAAAATTTTAAGCATTAGCTATTCCTTTCAATATACCATCACACATCAGCAGTACAGTTATTGCAGCAATGGCCTTTCTTTTTTCTTCTTTCCCTCATCCTAGTCGTTCTTTCCTTTGAGCAGTTTGTTTCCTCTTCCTATCATCTGTTGTACGTTTTGAGTTTTACTTATTCTTTCAAGTTCCTACATCAGGGAGACAATATGATGTTTACACATGTGGCTCTGATTTATTTCATTTGTGACTATGGTCTCTAGTTGCATCCGTTTACCTACAAAAGCCTTGAGTTTATCTTTTTTTTATAGCTAAGTAATACTCCATTGTATAAAACTACCACATCTTTTTTATCCATTCCTCAGTGGATAGGCATTTGGGTTGTTGCCAAGATTTACCTATAACAAATTGTGCTGCTGTAAACATGGGTGCACATATATCGCTGTGGTATGATGTTTTTAAGGGCATCTCTTTAATTGACTTGCCTTCACTATTTCTCCACACCCCTGTGGGCCCATCTGCTACCCAGGGTGCAGAAATGCTTCCTCGCACAATTTGAAGGGCATCCCCATCGCCCTCCAAAGTGCACTGCCAAAACTGCACAGAATGGGGCCCTGGCACCTGAGGTACAAGAGTGGCTGGGAAGCAGCCTAAGGTAGTGAGATAAAGGTTATAGAAGCATCTTGCTCTTGACACATTTCACACAATGGTGGGCTCCAGGGCCATGGCAGTTATTTAAAATCTAAAAATATTACAGCCTTCATGTAAAGAGGAGCACTGTAGCCGTGGCACAATGTTGTTTGAGGGTTGCAAAATGAGTCCCTCAGGTTGTATCAGTTTCCATGGCATCTGCACTCCAGCAAAGAGAGTGTCCGAAACATACATTTGACCACTTCCTGTGGCATATAAACCCCACTTGTTCTTTCTGGAGGGCCGCCTTTGTTTTTCAAGGGAGTATTCCCTGACTTCACGCAAAGTTTCCTCGTCTGAACTCCCATATCTCCATTTGATATGTGGGCAATAGCTCTGCACTTTTTTGTGCTGCTTGTACTCTCTTGGGGATATAGGACTGGACACCGGAATCCTGTCTGTATACTGCATTTAGATGAGAGGAGGTGAAGCAAGTAGTAAAGCCACCCTTAGCAGGGGAGAGCTGAAGTCTCCCCATGGAAGGGAGGGCAGCAACAGCTGGTGAAGAGGGGACACACACCAACCCAGGAGCACAACCCTTGTTTGGCAGGCTGCCATGTTCCATCCTAGGCGTCTGACTTCATCCTGGCTCCAAGGTCAGAAGTTCAGCAAGGATCATGTGCCTTAGCTCTGGGCAGTGAAGCATAAGCAGCCCGGGGCTTTTAGGGAAGGCTCCCAAGTCTGCAGAGGACTGAGGGTAAGTATCTGCATGTGCAGATTGAGTGCTAGAAACTGCTGCCGGTGGCTTGTGACAACATGGAGAGGAGCCAGAGGCTGAGAACTCAGGACAGGAAGAATATGCACCCCTGGTTATGCCACTGAGCCCTGAGTTGATCAGGCCAAGTAGCTCATCTCTGAGCACTGTAGCTGAGACTTACTGTTGCAGTTACTTTGGATCTGTCACTGTAGCAAGACAGGCTTACATCCATCCCATATTATAACTGTGCAACAAGTTACCCCAAAATTTAGTGGCTTAAAAACCAGCATCATCTCACAGCTTCTGTTGACCAGGAAATTGGGAATAGCTCATGGCTGGCTGTGGCTCAGGGTCTTTAGGATGTCAGGACAGCCCTGAACTCATCTGCAGGCTTTCCTGCAGCTGGAAGATCCATTCCAAACTCCTGTGAAGCCTCCCATGGAGGCTGGACTCTCATGAGGCTGTGTGAGTGCCTTCACATGGCAACGACTCTCCCAAGGCAGGTAATCCAAGAAGAAGGGAAAGTGTGTCTTATGAGCTGCCTCAGAGCACACACTGTTGTTCCCACCACGTTTCATCCTTGGAAACAAGTCACCAAGCCCAGTGCTTACTTAAAGTCTTGAGGGTTAAGCCTGGGTCCAGCGGACCCATCCCTTACTTTTCTATCGTAAATTTGTATTTGTGCATTATACTGACCAGCTATATGTCTCAGTACCTGTATGTCTCAGTACCTATCCCCCTGAGGGATACTGGAGGCAAAATACATGTTTATCCATTTGGTATGACAAA